TGCTGGCCAGCTCGGCCCACGAGCGCCTGGCCTGCGACCCCAACACCAAGTTCGCCGCCCCGGCCGGCGGCAAGAGCTGGATCGCGCTCATCCCCAAGGGCAACTGCACCTACAGGGAGAAGATCCGCACCGCGTCCCTGCAGAACGCCTCGGCCGTGGTCATCTTCAACGTGGGCGCCAGCACCAACGAGACCATCACCATGGCCCACGCGGGTGAGCGGCGCGGGCGGCCCGCGAGGGGGGCGCTTCGGGGCGCTAGTCGGCGCGGCGCGCGGGAAGTTGGGCTTGGCGTGGCGCGGCTGGGTTTACTCCGGAAAGAGGACTCCTGTTGGGGGGACCACAGAGCCGCGTGGTCAGCCACGCGCTCGTGGGCTCTCCCAGGTGGGCTCACTTTCCCAAGGCGGGTCTGGAAGGTGGGGTTGCAGGGCCAGGCTCGGATGTCATTTCAGGGGGTGACCGGCCTGCAGCTGTTTGCAACTGGGGTCCGATCCCCTAGCTCTGGTTGGGTGCGAGCCCCGGGGATGTGTCTGTGCCGGCGTTTGTCTAACTGGCAGCGGGTGGGGTCAGTGGGGCAGACAGCTGGGCACCAGGAACTTGTCCTTCAAGTGGGGTTTCAGCTCCTCCTGGGAGTCAGAGGCCCCTGCAGGGTTGAGGCGCTTCACAGATAATGTTCAGCCGGGAGCTCTGCCCAGCTGAGCTGTCATGTCACCCGGGCTGCTGAGGTTGGGTGTGAGGGCAAAGAATAACTATCCGCCACAGCCTGGAAGAGCCTGTGGCAGGGAAATGGGCTCCATGCCCCGTGGCACCAGCCTACACTGGCACTCCCCTAGGCCTGGAGGGGAGCTTGGCTTTTTGGTGAGAATGAGAAAAACAGTCAGCTTTTCTTAAGTGACAGGGTGCAAAACTAGAAATACCTTCCTCCCCTGAAACTCAGAAAGGATGGGTATGGCTGTGTGGTGCAGCACTGCTGGCTGGGCTGACCGAAAACAGAAGTCCTCTCAGCCTGGTGCTGGGGAGCAGGCAGGCGGCAGAAGGGTCCTCCTGCCCCAGCGTTCTGCTGGGCTGGGAGGGGGGTGAGGGGGTGGCGGCTTCCGGAGAAGGAGGAGGAGGGGTGACAGCCTTCTCTGACCCCAGTCCCGTCCTCAAAACCCTTATGGTCTTGAAAAGCCCAGTTTGAATGAAGTTAGGCTGCTGAACGGGAGCTCAAGACCCGCAGCACCCATGGCCAGGTGAGGTGCTTCCGCACCGGGTTCTCATTCCCAGCGCCCAGTCACCTGTTGGTGAGGTGGAGGAGCTGCCTGACGGGTAATCAGCACCTGCTGTGTGGACCAGGAAGTTGAGACCCAAGCACCAACAGGTGGGGTGGGAGAGGCTTGGAGCTTCTGCCACAGGCTCTCTACTCAGCTTCCGGACATTCCACACCCTCTTGAGCGAGAAGGTTTTTTGGGGGGTGGCGGGGGTGGGGGGAGCTTGTACTCTGCCCTTGAGCCACAGGAAAGCAACATAACTGGGTCAAGGATTCGGAGAACGGTGAGGTGGAGCTATGCAGCTCACTCACTTAGGGGCTACCTCGCCTGGATGGGTGGAGTGAAGGAGGGTCTTTAGGCTCTTTAAATTCCCAGCAGATTGCTAGCTGAGTGCGTGATTCTCCAAGTGTTTCTTTGTACGTCTGAAATCTCAAACTTGGCCTCTTTGAACACAGAGGCTTCATGTGTCTGTCTGAGTCCGCTTATGGCTTGCCCAGTCTTAGAGAACGCAGTAAGCTGGTTTTCCATACAAATGATGCTCAAGACACCACGGGAATGTTTTATTAATAAATGGACAGTTAAAGACTCCAGAACACAAAGGAAATTCTCCACCGTCTCACTGCTGTTTCCAGTGATGTGCTGATTGCTGGGATAACCCCGGCTCCAGCACCCGGCCGCTGCGGCTGGATTGTTCGCTGAGGCCCGGGGTGCGCTGATTCCTGCCTGAGTGGCCACTGCAGGCCTCGTGGCCGGCACTTACTCTCAAGTTCTTCTGCCTGAGTCTCAAACGGTGCCAGCCTGGGTCTTTAGGTCTGTTATGCTGACTTCCAGAACGTCAAGGTTTTGCTTTTTCTGTTCAATTTGAGTTCAGTTTCTAAATTCACTTTAGATGCCAACCAGAACCTTATTTTATAAACATGGAGATGATCTGCAGAGGATTCTTACACTTGCATTTTTTTAAAGATTTATTTATTTATGCATACAGAACTAGGGTACAGGCTAGAGGTGCAGGGGTGGTGAGAGGATTCACCAGAGACGGTGGGGAGAGTGACGAACAGGCAGAGTGACGAAGCCCACTGCTGAGGGGAGCAGCGGGCGGGTCAGGAGAGGTCTGCTGCGCCCTGTGGGTCAGCTCCCGGGCAGGAGGGGTGATCGAACTCAAACGAATAGCCCTCTCTCTTAGCCTCAGAAGCTCCACTTCATGTTAGTGTCTGCCAGTTTCTAGGCACAGTGTGCCTTGCTGGCTTGTCCACTGTGTAGATCCCAGTGTTAGTCTTTGTCATCCTGACTGCTTCACTACATGTAACGCCCTCCAGCCCGTCCATGTTGCTGAACATGAACTCTGCCTTCCGCTGGGGAACGGCCCATGGTGGGAACAGGCCACCCGCCCCTGGCCCGTTCTCTGCAGGCACCTAGGTTGCACCGTGTCATACTCTGTGAGAAATGTTTCCATACACATTGTGGAGCACAGAGTTTTATGAGTTGGTGGTTTCATGTTCTTCCAAGACCTGCCAGCGGCCTTGAATTATTCAGGGAAAGCCCAGATGGTTTTCCAGAGTGGCCGCACCAGTTTCCACGCTCAGCAGCAGGGTTAGGAAGTAGCATCTTCACTATGGCTTTCATTTGCATTTCCCTGGAATGGTGAACACTCCAGTGTCTCTAACACTCAATGTTCCCTTCCCCTGATTATTTCTTTTTGAACTTCAGCTCATACACTTTTGACCTGAGGATGGGGAGAAAAGGGGACAAAGACGTGAAGGGAGGGAGAGATCAACACAGAAAAGAAGTCCACCTCTCCCTGTGTAAACAAGGCCCGGAGGAAGGACTGACCCCTAGCCAGCCTTGCCGCACTTGGCTGTGAAGGAGCAGCAGGAAGGCAGAGGGGAAAGCCAGGTAGGAGCAGTCTCCACCTGTGTGAGCCCTGGACATGAATTTCCCGGTCAAAGAAAAGCAGCTAGACTCCCATGGTCTCTCCAGAACTGGCACCACACCTGTGGAGCTTCTCATACAGGTGACCCTCAAACAACGCAGGTGCGGGGGCGTTCTCGCTGACTTCACATTCCACACCCGGGCTTCAGCCAGCCCACTCTGACGCTGGTTGAATTCTTGAAGGCAGAACCAAGGGTTGAGAAAGTCTGTCTGTAAAGGGGCCACCACAATTCAACCATGTTGATCAAGAGTCTACTAGTGTAGACTAGAGTCTATATATATACACACTCTGAGGAAAGCAATGCCAGAAATGTCTGGGAGCGGCTGAAAACTCATGAATTAGGGGTGTGGCTCCAGAGCAAACCACTTGAGCCTGTGGAAGACCCTGCTTCCTCGCTGTGTGACTTGGGGCAGGTTCCTCGACCTCTCAGGGCTACCTTGTCCTTTGTGAACCAGCTGCCGCAATCTTTTTACAGGACGTGCATTTTCCTGGGCTGTTTACATGCAGCATCCTTCTCTTTGGGTAGGGATAACACAGGCCGTGGGCGCTCACGCTGGGCCAGGCGGGCTGTAACATCTGTGTGGGGATTTATTTGATTCGCACACTGGTGCTGGGTCTGGAGTGTTACTGTCCCTGCTTCACAGACAGTGAAACTGAGGCCCAGAAGGGGGAGGAGACTTTACCTGGCCCCCAGGTAGAAGGAAGGGGCAGAGCCTCAGACCTGGGCCAGCACCTGCATCTGCGCCGAGCCTGCCGAATCCCTAGCAGGGCTGGGTGACTTGACAAGGGCATGGACGTGGGGACGTCAGTTCTCCCTTTCGGGGTACTTGGGCAAGCCTGTAGGCACATGCACTGTTGAGGTTGGAAGCCTGAACGTCTGTGACGGGGAACAGGACTCGGCCCTGATGAGCCATGCCTCTGGGGCCACCGCTTTTGCTACCCAGGGCCTTGGTTCCACACTTATAAGTCGAGAGAGTCGACAAATTAGTCGCTCACAGCACAGTGTGTATTCTTGTGTCTTCAAAGGTCAGGACATTTTTACAGAAATCCAGATCTCTGCCTGGATCTGTGTGCCCAAGGCTGTAGGTGGCCGCAGAGAGCAGCGCTGGGCCAGTGTCTTTGCTGGCCCAGGCCGGCGCCACCCAGTTCCCACCTGGCCAGGGAGTCCAGCTTCGGGAGTCAAAGTGAGGTCAGTGAAGAGACGCTGCTGAAGACAGACTTGGTGAGGCAAGGGTGAACCGAATAGATATGGAAGCACTTTCCAGGGCTTGCAGCTTGCCCGTGCCTCCTGGTGGAGTTGGTCTTGAGTGTTGTGGGCGCTGGGCCCTGGAGGGGATGCCTGAAGGGCCTCCCCAAGCCTGAGAACCAGGACTGCCTCCCTTGGGTTTTAGGAAATGTTTGAGAGTCTCCGGTTTCTGCTTCACTGTTCTCTAAGCTGCCTACAGAGACGCTATCGCTCATGTTAATCTGCTCGCCCAGAGCAATCCTGCCCTCCCCACCTGGTGCTAATTTATTTATTTGGTGCTGGACAGATGCTCCTCACCTGTCCCTCCTGTGGCAGGCAGGATATCCAGTGGCCCAGGACGCCTAACTCTGTCATTAAAGCCTTCCAGGCTTCCTTCGGTCTCGGCCCATGCCGAGCAGTGGCCTGAGCATTTCCAGGAAGCATGGCTTGGATACTCATGCCAGGCCACCGAAACACGTATCTGAGCGGTTTGGAGAGATCCTGCCTTCTAGTCTCTAGTAAAAACCTCACTTTGTCTCCCCTGAGGCCTCCGTTCTTTAAAGTCGTCTGCTCACAAAGAGAGGAATTTTATCACCATGAAATCTGGAAAAGTCTGGAAAGAACCCGGGACTTTCTAACTCACTCTTCTGCCTTTTTAGAAAGTGTTGATAATACTTATAATGCACAGTTAACTTGTTCAGAAACCAGATCAACTAGTGAGGAGAAGGTCCTTGACCGCATTTATTGCATTTATGAACATGAAACGTAATGCCTAGGGAAATGGCCCCTTGACTGGGCCCAGAAAGTCTGT